TGAATTGTTGGTTGATTTCATTATTTTTGTTTTTCTAGATTTTGGAAATGTTAAATAAATTTAGTTTATAGGGTTCCATTCAAGGTAATGGTGAATCTCAGAAACGCCGTCTTCGTTCCCATGGATTGTTATTGTTATTATTTCCGCCGTTGTTGCCACCACGATTTCCTTGACCAGCTTGGTTTTGGTTGTTACCACCAAACTCAAATGTAAACGGATCCTATCGTAATTGAATGTAAAGAATTTCATATTTCAAATATAAATAGAAATAAACGGAAAAGTTTTCTTTTATATAAAAACTTAAAAGAAGTAGATATATTTTTATTATATATTAATAATAGATGTCCAAAAACATTTTGTATTGAAAATATGTTTACAGCACAATACTAAAAAAAAATTAACACAATTGGATGAGCAAGTTTTAAGTTTTTTGCATTAACAATTTTCATGGTTCCTTCTTTTGTTAAAATAGCATTTTGTATTTTTATAGCATCGATATAAATCAATATGGCGTTTAGTCATTAAACTAATACCCATCTTCAAGTACCAGAAATTATAAAATACAGTAATTCATCCTAAATTATTTAGAATAATAAATGTTTATATTCTTTTCGACAAAAATATATTTAAATATTTGTCATACAAATGCAATTTTAAAATTGTATGTCAACCCAAATATCAACTGTTATGATAAAAAAAAATGTTTAAGACAAGTTTTTTTTCCATAATTCATACATATTTTATGTTCATATTGATATATTGACCAATGACAATGAAAACAATTTTATTTGGTTTTCAAACTATTATACTAAGCGAAATTTTTAAGTTTTATATTTGAATATTTCAAATAAATAAACTCTGTATAAGAAATTGTGAAAGTTAAAAATTTTAGACAAAATTAATAATCCCCAACAATTAGAATATTAGAGTTGTTTCTCATTAATTGTTCGGGTCTATACCACGGAACCACTAATAGATGTTGATAAACAACTTCACCCAAACAAGTTATATTAAAATAAAACATCACATCAATATTGTTTAATTTCCAACCAAAGTTGTATTAAATACTTTAGAATAAATATTTATTGCAAATATTGACGTATTTATTGTATTACAAATACTAACTGTTATACTAGCTTGTGTAGTAAAAAAAAAAAAAAAAAGAAAAATTCTTGTATTTAAAACAAATATGAAATATTTTTATACAATTCCAATCACAATATGTAAATATACATTATAAATATGAAACACATATTCACCCATTTGTTTTTAAATTTCATTTGAAAATACTTTTTCATTATTTTACTACTTTATATAATAAAGTAATTTATATATGTAAATATTATTTAGATTTGAATAATTTTACCCAATTACTATAACTTTTAATGGTTATAGATTTCATGTAAGAGGACATAAAAATTTTAAAAACATTGAAAACGAATTTTTTTTTATGATTAATACTGTTATAAACTGTTATACTTGATTTATAACAAATGAAGTCATTTCCCTTAATCTTCAAATTTACCTAAATATAATCGACAAATAAATCATTATCTTAATCCACCCAACATATTTTATGTCTATAGACGCCTACTGGATTGCTTGCTGAATATTAAACTCGGTGGATTAGTTCACAGCTTGAACAGTAATATAAATTAACTATGTGTGAACAAAAAAATTGATGAATTAATTTTTCAACCACATCATAATCAATTAAATATTTCAATGCTTCATAAAGTATTTAAAATCAGTTTTAATGATAGGAATTAATCTATTGATCTCAGATAATATGGCGCTGAGCACCTATACTAAAGTTATGGTATAAAAAAAAAACTATACAGCTTCTACATATTGACTGGTTTCATCACTTTTTCAAAAGACTTAAAAACAGTTAATAAATGTTTAAGCATGATAGATAACGAGTAAGGAAAAGTTAAGAAAATTTCAAGAAGATTATGCTCCCATACCATAGTCTAACAATAGAAATTTTTTTTCATTTTGGTAACATTTGTTTCTTTAGATTTTATATTGTGTCAAAGCTATATGACACAAAATCGCAATATAATTTATTAAAAAGTAAAAAATTTAAAACGTACCGCAACATGCAGTACATATGATAATGATTGGCGACTAGTATAACAGTTAATATCACAATTGCAATAAAAATGTTCTGATACATAAGAATTGTTTTAAACGTTTAATTTTTAATTACCCAAACCCCAAAGATTATAGATATAAATATATATCTATTATTTTTTATTTTTTAAGCAAAATAATTTTTATTGCATATATGTTAAGAGAATAATTGAAAAACTTTATATCATTCAGAATGCTAAATATATGAATAAATCATATATTGTATTTATAATAAACATATTTTGTCTAGATTTATTTTATGTAATTCTCCCAATTGATCAGAAATAATCTTAAATTTTATAACCCACGAGTTTATTATCTCACCACATTATAATAAAAATATATGTTACACACAATTTCTAACAGAATTCCCAAGTAACCGTGATTTGTAGTTAAAAATTTATATTCGTTTAATAATATATAGATTTGCATCATCAAGAGTATTAATTTTAATAAAGTTCAATCGTATCTGTAAGCAATTTTCTTTATAAGAGATTTTTAATTTTTATATAAATATTTTACCTATATGTATATATATAGTATATGTCTTATTTGAAAAAGTTTCTTAATATTCCCAAGTAACCGTGATTTGTAGTTAAAAATTTATATTCGTTTAATAATATATAGATTTGCATCATCAAGAGTATTAATTTTAATATTATTGTTATTTGTCAGCAAATAACAATAGGTACTGAGAGTTGCATGAATAACATCATACTATATAAATAATGTCTTCCAAGAATACTGTTAACATATAGAAAATTAAATGTACATCAGTTTCGTAACTACTACATATTTTAGTTAATTAAGATCTAAAAACAAATCCTAATAACTTAAATACAGTCCAACAATATTTCGATATGTGGCCAGCATGTCAATATATTGTTAGACAAACAATAGCACGAAAACAAACATATCAGAATTCTTCCAGCACACATGACTTTTCAGAATAAAAATTAGTATATATTTTATTGCTAAAAGAAATTTTTTATTATTACAATTCGTTCTTGGAATAACACATAAAATGTATTTTTAAAAATCATTTTCAGCTTAGTTTAAGCAAAGAATGCATACTTCAAGTAAATATAATTACGACAAATAATGAAATCTATGTGCATTTATTTATATATATATGAGTATGTTTTAACTCTTGAATATTAGTTCAACTTTTTGTATTACCAGAAGTACGAGAAGTAGTACTGTTAAAGGAATTCATTTTAAAAATAACTGGAAAAATGAACGTACCTGATTATTTTGTCCACCATTTGGACCGCAATTATTGGTATTGTTAGCGTTATTTCCTACAGAAAATTGTGACGTTTTTTTTAGAATGTATAAAAAAAAAACAAAAATATCAATATTATATTTACCTCTAAACTCAAATGGTGAGTTGTTAGCACCGCCAAAGTTATTATCAAAATTATTACCATTCAAATTAAAGCCAACTTCTTGCTGATCTAGTAATGTATTCAGCTGTTGTGCTTGCATGAATAATGTATTCTCTTGTTGGCGACGACGCATTTCTTCTTCCTGACGCATCATACGAGATTGCATTTCAGTTTGCTGACGGCGCATATTTTCTTCATCGCGCTTGCGCATATCTTCAGCTTGTTTCTCACGCAATTCCCATTCCATTTTCTTGCGTTCATTATCAGACTCACGTTTACGCAATTCTAGTTTGTATTATGATTTTTTTATAAAAAAAACTATGCTGAAATTATTTGTTTTTCTATATATATTACCTTGTCTTAATAATTCAGTTTCATGTTCATAGCGTGCATACTCCATTTGAGCATCCAACTTCTCCTCTTCCATTTTAAGCTCGCGTTTAAGCGCTTCTTGCTTAGATTTGAAGAGTTCATGTAACTGCTTCCATCTAGTACCGTACTCATGTTCAAAAGAATCAACATCAGCAAAACGTGGACCAACATTACGTTCATGATGGAATTCTTGTGTTTTCTTGTTTAATGATTTTTCAGGCAAGCCATCAGTATCATCATTAATATCCATTGGTTCAACAACACAAGGACGTAATGATGTGGTCAAAAAGTAACATCTATCGTTGCACAAACGTAAGCAAGAGTTGGCTGTTGATTTCTTTTCGAATTCAACAATACCTTCACCTGTTGATTTACCACGATCGTCAACAACAATACTAGCGCGTTCTACTGGACCAAATATTTCAAATGCTTTATAAAGTAACTCATTTGAAACAAATGGTGTTAAATTTCGAACACGTAATATAGTTGCATTTGGAGCAAAACGTACACGCATTGCACGACCTTTACGCATGGATCCATCCAATTCACGTTTAGCTTTCTCAGCATTTGAGTGATAATCAACTTTTAAAAATGTGAAATTCTTTTCAGGATTTGAAAAGATTTCTCCAATTTCACCATATGGTTTAAAGATTTCAATTAGATCTTCTTCTGTTGTATCGGTTGTGAGATTACCAACATATAAACGATTACGTCCAGAGAACTTGGGCTCAGCTGATGCAGTTTCAAGTGTTGGTAACTCATGGGTAGGACCCGCAATTGCACGCAATCTTTGACCAATATGAAATTCATCATTACGTCCCATAATTCCACTTTGATTACCTTGGTTACCACCACGTCCACCACCACCACCACGGCTGTGATCACGATCACGATTACGACCACCACCACCACCGCCGCGGTTGCGGTTTTGATTCTGGTTTTGATGTTGAGGCCTATTATCTTGATTGCCACCATCTTGGTTACCACCCATTAGCGGTGTCTTTATATCAGTTTGGTTCTGATTTGAGTTTTGTTGATTTTGGTTTTGTTGATTTTGATTTTGTTGATTCTGATTCTGATTCTGATTCTGGTTCTGGTTCTGGTTTGGTTGATTCTGATTTTGATTGGGTTGATTCTGGTTTTGGTTCTGGTTTGGTTGATTTTGGTTTTGCTGATTCTGGTTTTGATTCTGCTATAAATTATTTTCAATTTTAGTTGAAAAAATAAAATATTTTTTTTTATAGTCATTGATTCATATTAACAAATCACAAAAATTTACTTAGATAATTTTATTGTTTATTATTTTAGCATTTTATATATACTACATTAATTCAATAAAAAAAATATGTAAAAAATAATCACTACACATTCTTAGTATTTTATTTTTTTTAAAAGATCAATTACTTAAACTTTACAGATTTTAGGCAGGCAGCACTTTAAATAAATTTCTAGCATTTATGTGAGAAATATATTTATTGAAATATATATGTAAAGAAATCGAATTAAGGAGAAAGTCAACTTGTATTCATTTAGATTGTTAAAGATACTTATAACAGAAAACTAAAAAAAAAAAAATGGGAACTTTTTATATTGATTTTAACACACTAAGTTGGTTTCAAGCTCCGTCCCGGAGCCACTCGTCGAGTTCGGTACTATCAAAAGGGACAACTTACGATAATCCTCACGAGCTATAACAATAACCGCCAAAGGTTCCTTTACTTTTATAAAGAAATTATGATTCCACTTTGTTAAAAGCTCGCTAATAAAGAAAAAAACTTGTAGAATACCGCAATATTTACTTTATTCTGTATGAAGTAAAGAAGCGAAGAGAGAGAAGTACATTACTGTAATAATTAGAAAAACATAAGACGTAGGAGTCATGGAAAATAATAATGTAGCTAGGAAGGTGTTTGATTCGGTACCCGCTGATGGAAAACGCGATAGATGACGTTAGCATGTTGACGAAAGGAGCAACGACAGACACTAGGTACAACCAACAGGCGACAGCAAGCTAGCTACCGGAAGCTACTGAAAGCAGCCAAGAACGACTTACGTCTGTAATGGCCAACAAGTTAAGTGGCATCATATTATTCGTGAAAAATCCAAGTGCTACTATTTCTTGTATTAAATTTTATTGTATACAATTGTTAAGAGGTCATCAAAAAGCGAAGATGAAATAATATTTTTTAGATTTGCAAACAAAATTTAAATATACTTAATATAAAAAAACATATATATATGCGTACGATATATATATATATTACACTAGAAGAGTAAAACAAAGAGGTGTGGTTTTTGGCAAAGAATATCGCCGAATCGAATGAATGATTGAACAGACACATAGTATAGAAATTCAAGTCCAAACATTTTTGAGATGGGCGGGTGGGCGACATATATATTTTTTAATAGTGAACATTTCTGTATGACTTTTCTTTATGTTCTAAATACACAAATTAAAATTTTTATGCGGCAAATATAAGTATCTACCTCCACACAGATAAACTCAATTGCGCACAATATTTATGTATTCACACATAGATATAAATTCAATAACAAAATACACCAAATATTCTTGGTATCAGAATAGCATGTTCCGACAAAAACAAGAAAATAAAATAAAAAATTAACTACAAGTCTTGAAACATATGCATTTCTATATAGTTATGACCAATTTATTTTTATTACCAAAATAAAAACTGTAGCGACATAATGCAATTCTTAATAAATATTATCTTTCTCTACACTAAAGCGGATAAGTAACGCGGCTCGGCTCTTTAATGACAGTTCTTTAATGCAAAATAAAAACAACAAATAAACTCTATATATTCCTTAATTACATTTATAACAATTTATGAATGTAAACCCATGTCATGAGTAAAAATGTATTAATTTAATCATCATTTTTTGTAAATTTTTTATTACGTGAAAATTACTAAAAGAAAAAAAATTTACGCTATCAGGTAGCGGCTGCCATTTTGTGCAGATACATACATGTGTATGTACAATTGCATAGAATTATTGATTTTACTTAATTACAAATTTTTGCATAAAAATAATTAATCACCGAATTTATGTAATAAATTTTGTAAATTGTTTTAAAACAACATAAATATATAGTAAAAAAGTTCATTAATAAAACTAGAAACTAAATCATATGCCGCCATATTGAAAAGTATTTTATAATCAAAAATTCTAACCTGATTTTGGAAATTTCTATTTTGCTGTCCACCACGGTTTCCTCCGCCGCCGCGATTGCGATTTCCACCAAAATTTTTATTCATTGCATTTCCTTGAGCATTACCTTTGTTCTGATTGCCGCCACCAGCGCCAGCGTTTGGTCCACCCCCTTGGTTAAAACGTGGCTTTTTTTCAGATGGACCATTATCAACTGCATCAGTAGGTTTCTTTAAATTTTTATTTTGATTCTTTTGTGGTCGTTGAGGCAACGGACCTGCATTTTCATTCCTAGTAGCAGTTTCCATATTGTTTTTTTCTTGATTATGTATATATTTTACTTTAATTCACAAACACTCTCCGTAGCACTGCGATCAGCAACCATACACGACGAATGACAAGAAAATAATGATTTGCAAAGGAAGCAATATAAATTAATATGGCTTCCTTCAATATTATTAGTACTAAAGTTGCAATTTTTAGTACAAAATTGTAACTCTACAAATGGTAAAAATTCGTAGTGCGTTTTTGATTTACACTAATATTAAATAATTATAAAATTATTGATATTATTAATAAAATCAAAAATATTTCTGAATATAGAATTCAGATATTTTTAATACAACTTTTTTGTAAGAATAAGTAATTTGTAGAAATGTAATCGAGTTATGAAGCAATTGTTAAAAACTGTTAACAAATTTCTATTTTCATAAAAATTCAATTTGTAAACATTTTAACAAATTTGATGCTAAATTGAGTCGGCATAAAATAGTTTTACAAGTTAAGAAATTGATCTTCAATCAAGTCAATTACATTAATTTGAGTTAAAGTCGATAATGTAAATGTAATATTTAAATTGCTTAGTATATATAATATAAAATATAATAATAACGTCGTATTATTTTTTTTTGTTAGGAGCATATAGTTTTTATATATGATTTGTAAATAAAAAACATGATTTTCTTAATTTTGGGCAGTTTGAACACTTTTGAAATTAACATAATTACATTTTTACGAAATTAAGGAAATTTGACTGTCTGAACATAGTATTAGGTCTTACTCGCAAAGATTTTTATGTCTTATGTTTTTGTGCAGCCAAATTCCAAAATCATTCTATTGTGAATGTTGCAAAACTTTAGTCATCCCTAAAAATCAGATGAGCATTTTATTTACTCATAAATTCAAATACATAAATAAGTAAATTAATTTATATATATAAGAGAAAAATGCTAATCAATGCTTTTCTAATGCTTATTTTGTTGTCTTTTATTTAAATTAATTCATTTTTAGTGTTTACAAATTTTATGTACGCAAAACAACAACACCAATTTTACTATCTAAGCCAATAATTGTTTATTGGCCAAACTCTTCGGCCGGTAAAGAAAAAAGCGTTACCAACGCTATAAGCGAACTATTGTGTACCTTCATTGGCAATTTCAACGAATATTGTGAATCACATGTCAAAAATCATATGTAAATAAAATTTTAAACAAAATTCAAATATTTTATTGAAAATTGGGAAAAAATTTTGAAATATAGTTGAAAAATGATAAGTATAATATGGCGTTTACATTGGCCGAAAATGGCTCATTTTAAATGAGCCATTTGAAAGTGTTTAGATTCGTTCTATTTCATTTGTTCTCATTTCAACAGCTGATTTTTCAACTTGCATGTTGATTTGATTTTTGGCCTGTGCCAAAAAAATTTTGCATGAAGGTTAAATATGCCTTCAAACCTTACATTAGAAACTTAAAACATATTTTTAACTTCGATTAATTACTTTTTGGGAAGTAAAAGTTCTAAAAAGCAGTGCATCGTTTTCAAGAAAATGCAACCACCAAACATTTGTTTACCTTTTTTTGTAAATATGTTAAAAACAGCTTTTTCAAACTGTCAAAATGCCATGAAGAGCTTTCATTTAGGGTATGTTCAATGGATTCCTTTGCATTTGGAACGTATGTGGAATGCATTCGAACGTCATTCATTCAGAATGTGAGAAAATTGCTCATTTTTGTGCTTGAAATTTTATATGCAAGAATGAGCCATTCGATACTCATTTTCGATTTTTGACCAAAATGAGCCATTTTCGGCCAATGTAAATGCCGTATAAAGCATATTGAATTTTTAAATCTCTTAGTTATGAACAAGTAACATTTATTTTTATAAAAAATGTGTTTTGCTTGATATATGTGCACATATGCACGATTTGTTGTTGTTGAACACAAAACATTTGATAGATTGCAACAGTGATGCCAATGTATCACTTAGCGAATATAGACCAGCATGCGTTTTTTGCCATACTTGCGAGCCAGCGAGAACGGCTATTGTGCACAACACAGCAAAAAAACATTTAAAAAAGGATTTGAAATATTTTAAAGAGTGATGGCATTTTATTTTAACCAGACTTAATAATTTTTTTTACAACTCTGGCAAAAAAATGATTGCTAGTATCTGATAGATTGAGAGTAAATAAAGATTGAGTGCAGATTTACCAATCAAAAACGTCATTAGTTGCTTTTGATCGAGCCTTTATTGAAATGATATGTCAACCTGTCATCTGGCAGCACTTGTCTTGTAGTCATTCAGTTTCGTTTCATTCGTTTCGCATTAATTGTTCGTTGTTTGTCCCGTTGAGTTTTAGTGTATGATGTGTGTATAAGTTTTATTACCTGAATTTTTGTTTAAATAATTTTGTTATCGTGTGCAACATAAAATATTTTAATTAAATATAATTTTAAAGTGTACGAAACGCTTAGTAAAATTACAGTCTTCTGTGATTTAATGTGGAAAACAACAACAACAATGTTTAAATAGATTTTGTGGGCCGCTTTGTGCGGCGGTAGTCTTGAAGAAGTGCGTAGGTCCTGTGACGCGTTATTTAAAAAGAAACTCCTAGTTTTTTTTCTGTGTTACGTGTTTTATGTTTGTAAAATTTTTAATCAATTATTGATAATATATAATTATTGTCTTGTGTATTGTATACGCGTATTTGTTTTAAACCAACAACCTATAACCAATATATAAAAATATAAGATAATTTTATCATTGCTTTTACTAAAATGAGGTAAGTGTTATCTATCTATTTAAGAAAATATGTGTGCATATATTTTTAATTATAGTGTGTTTGAACCTTCATTGTTTATTTTAATATTTGTTTTCTTATTATATTTTGTCTTTATTTTGTGTGATTGATGTTGTTGACGACGAATCAGACAAAAACATTTTTAATTTATGTTTTCGATTGTCGCGTTTCACTTCTGGCTGGCCTGGCCTGCTTGGCTATGTGCTGTGGTGTTGCAAAGCACTTCGACAAAAACCTGTTTGCCTACCATAGTTTGGTTTTATTTATATATTTTTCTTAGAATTTTTTGGTTTTCTGATACAAATATCAATGTGCGTTGACTGTTGACTCTATATACGAAACACACCCGCGCCTCTGCTTTATACGTTTTATGTGATTTATTACAGAAGAGCATTGCCTGCCTTGCTGCGTTAGGTCAACTTTATTCACGTCATATCGATCTTTGTTTTGTAGAGAATTTTATGCATTGTATATATTTTAATTATTTTTTTTAGTTATTTGTTATAAATTTAATTAATTTTTTATATATTATTAATTAAACAATTAAACAATTTATTAAACAATTTTATTTTGCTTTTCTCTGACATGTGTTTATGGGAAAATGCAGTGGCGGTCACACACAAATAGTCGCCATTACATTTACATTGCCTTTCGATATATTTATCGCATATATGCATTTATATTTAGCAGGTCATATTGGTCCGTTATTTGATTTCATATACAAACCAACAACAACGACATTTGACGATCTCTGGAATTCAGCTTAAATTAAATTTTTTATCTGCTACCAAAATATTTTTTAATTTGTTTTTTGTTTTGCACTTTTTTGACTTATTTTGTTTTCGACTTTTTAGACGTGCTTTTATCTTGTCTCCACGATTTCATTAGAAAAATGTTAAAATGTTGATTTTTTTGAAGTATTTCCAAGAACTTCCAAATTTCCATTCAAGTGAAATTAATATTTATCAGTTCAAATTAAAATGTACCATATATACTTAAACTCAAATATATACATTTATGTTATATATATTATGTTATTTATATTATATATATTGACTACTTTTGATATTAATGACAAATGTAGGTTGTAGCCGGATGTGTCATCTATAAATGTTATTGATATTTAGTTTGTTATTAAAAATTATAATATTTATGGAATTTATAATGAATTTTGTTGCGATGCTCAATGGTTTACTACAACTATCCCAAAATGATATTCTCGACAGCAAAGTGACTTATATATTCTTCAAATGGTCTTCCTTTTCCATGCAATCTTTTGCAGTTGCAGAAAGTGTGTTCAGTATCGTCCTCGTCTGATTCGTAATATACAATGAGCGACAAAACTCTACATACACCCCCCATTTCTGCTAGCTCGTAAATCCAAAGACATAATAGAAAAAAGTAATGATATAATTTTGTTTAGAACTGTTTTTTAATAATAATAAATAAAAGAAAATTCATTCATCAATATAAATTAACAAAGTTATTCGAAAAAAATCTAAATGAATCATTGACAAAAGTCTACATATACTTCATTGATTATTACATATAGTCGACAGTAATTTAAATGTTCAACGGGAAAGTACCGTTTTTCATATTTCATGCTTGTGGCATGAGTCATACATTTATATAACGCATTTAGTTGTGCTTTGTGAGTGGTATTTAATTGACACGATGGGTCCACGAAAAGAAATTTCAAGTGATAAGCGAAATCAACATTTTAGACGATAATAAGAAATTATAAAAATACTGGTTCTACTGAAAATAAGCCTCGCAGTGGCCTCCCAAGGAAACTCACACGTAGGGATGTCAGCTTGGTTTTAAAAGAAGTTGACAAAAATCCGAAAATAAGTGCCTTAAAATTAGTCGAACACATTGCTAGTGCAACTGGGAGGCATGTCAATCCACTTACAATGGAAAGAACGATAAACAGCCACGATTTTCATGGTAGAATACCACGCAAAGAACCTCTAATGTCTGAAAAAAACCCAAAAGCTGCGCTCGGAGTTTGCCAAACAATATAAAGAAAAGGATTTTGATTTCTGGAAGCAAGTTTTGTTTACAGATAAATCCAAATTCAATATATTTGAAAGCGATGGGAGAGCTAAAGTTTGGAGGAAAGCGAAAACAGCACTGAACCCGAAGCATATAATGCCAACTGTAAAGCATGGTGATGGCAGTGTTATGGTTTGGGGAGACCATTATGTATTATATAAGTGACGTAAAAGTTAACCAGTTTCTATCTAGTCATAGATATATTCGAAAATATCTATACAGAATGCTAAAAACCGACTTCTTCAACTGCGAAAGATTGCATGGAAAAGGAAGACCGCTTCAACAATATATAAGTCATTTCACTGTCAAGAATATCATTGAAAAAATGAAAGAACATGCAGAAAATTGAAACAAAATCACATAATTCTTTGGAAACGTGCTCCGGAAAAAAAGAAAGACCTGGACG